ATGGGTTACGGAGGCTTTGCACGAAGTCCACTGCCGAGGCCAGACACAGAGCAAACGAAGCGGTGGAGGGAAGGTTTCCGGGACCTGGTGATGCTGGAGAGATCACTCTAAGTCTGAGACGGCGATCCTTAAAGGACCGGCCACGAGTGTCACACCAAAGCAAACGAAGTGGAGGATATCTTACAACTTGACATGGAAGAGGGGAGCCTTGATAGCACGATGCACTTTGTATCGTGTCGTATTCTTTCCATGAGTGGATCGGAGTAAGCAGCAAGAGGATCCTATGATGCCTTCACACAGAGTTCAGAGTGTATATCTCGGGACCTGCATGAGTCGGAAGCTGGAGGGGGCATGGTCAGCATCGTATTGACGCGATGTGTGGTTCACAAGGCGTGGCATTGTGCGATGACTGCTTTTAACGTTGCGCCATAAAAGTGATACTGTATCTGTATGTACATGTTTGCCCTATTCAATGAGACATTTTGTGGACAAGAGGCATTGCATTGTGTCTGTGAGCATGGCTGACGCGCAAGACTGTCTTGGATTTATCCTCCGTGGTTGGTACATAAGTTCTTGGATGATGCTTTTTTCTTTCTTTTTTTGGTTCAGTGTAACAGATCTCGGTATCTTACAAGGGTCAACCCTTACATAATTGCCAAGCCGATCTACAGGAACCCAGATAGACTCCTTTTGGCAAATGGCATGACGATCACATCGTGTTTCAGTCCCAGATTGGAAATCGACAATGCTAAGTTAGTTAAGTTATCATGACAAAACATCGGCGACATGTACCCGGACCGTTGCGGTGATCAGCAAACAAACTGGAGCAGCAGAGTTTTCTGTACATTGGAAACGAGGATAGGATCTCGATTCATCAAGAGCAGACGCTGTAAGCAAGAGTTGAGCACAACAACCTTGTCGCATAACGAGCTGATCTTTTGCCAAGTATGTCAAGGGACTAGTGATGGATTATTGAATTTGTTGGCAATGGCATCCATACGTTGGTTGAAAATAGTATGCAGAGTAGATGAATCAGCCGTAAGCATTGGTCTTGCTCGTCCTTGGCAAGTTGGCACATCCATCTCAGATTCAATCGAGACTTGCATGGGTTCCCCTCATTCATCACGTCGTTGGATTGGATCTTATGAGAGGATGCGACTGTGATGCATGGCTAGCCTACATATGTCTACGGGGTCAGCCGCGAGGTGACTCTGGAGGTTGGGCCGGTAAACTTTCTAATAATAAGCTAAAAAAAAATAACTTTCAGCTCAATCTCTATCCCGTGTCGAACACCGGCTTCTAGCCAGCATGAGAATTGTCCATAGTTGCTTGCAAGAGCCTCCTGTCAGTGTCAAGTGATATATCGGCGCTTCAATGGCCTCATCATCTGCCATCAAGCCATTGAGGTTATATAGTCAGCCACAAAACACATCCCCGAAATCTGACAACGGTACCGGCGCCGAATTCGTCCGTTGGGACGCGGGGAGGCACTAGGCAAACGCCTTGTAAACGGTACAAAGTCTGATCTGATCAGCCCAACTTGGCATCAGCATCTCAAGATGCCATATTTGGATATCCAGTTGGGCATCCTACAGCTCTGCTTGGCTGGAACCTGTAAGGCTCGTATCGGCAAGTTGATGGATCGAAGCCTTCATGCAGGCGGGCCATACCTCATCGGCGGTGTGTAGGTTAACACGAGGTTTTCAAGTTAACAGCAGGATATGGCGCCAATCATGAATGCATCGAGTTACATGAGGCGGACGCTTACAGACATATAGAAATATGGGATTGGCTGCAGTTAAATGCATTTTGTTTGTCGACGTGGGCTTGTCAGGATACAAGTGGTTGAAGAGAAGATCCATGCATGAGGCTTACAGCAGAACACCATCTCTCTTTGTTTTTTTACTAAACTTGAGTATGGGGAAACAATATTACCAAGCGAATAGCTATGACTGGAAGAGATGTACTCCGTAGGTAATTCCGATCCTACCCACCCACGGAGTACAGTAGTATAATCAATAGTTCTAATTGAAACGGACCCAAAGAGAAGCGGAATCACGCGCAGAGGCACTACGAAGCTAGAGACGAGCTAGAAGCTGAAGGAGGGGGATTTAATGGATTTAATTCTCCCTTAGTGCAAGATTGCCCTTTACTGAGACATGGCTTTTTCGGACAACGGCCCATGGCTCTGGTGAGCCTGAGCCTGCCTAGCCTGCTGAAGGACAAAAGGCTGCCCCCCTCCGCCCCTTGGCCAGTGCAAAAGACTAAAATAAGTTAGCTACTAGTAGTTCCTTTCAGCCGTCTAGACTATTGCAAGTCTAAGGGGTAGGCCAGGCCATCATGCACGAATCGAGCGGGTGGCTGTTTCATGACTGGGTGGGTTTTCCAGGCTCGCATCTTAGTAGAGGCCGCTTGATGGAGATTGGGTCTAGCTTAAACGGTGAGGACGAACCACGAGGACCGAGACCGTAATTAACCCGCCATGATGCTAAAAAAAGGCCGAAAGGGCGTTTTTTTGCAATGCCCAATAAGACAAGAGGGCCAAAATCCAAATATGGATGTGATGGGACTGTGCTGGACTGCCTCAGGTAGACAAACGAGCTGACCTGAGCTGACCTGAAGAAGCAGGAGGGCTTTTTGCGATTACATCTGATTCTGGTTCTGATCTGATCTGACACGACCAAAGAGATGATTTCTCCGTTTGTTTCCTTCTTGAACATGCACACCATTTTACCATGTATCAGTTTTACCTGACCATACCGTATACGCACCACAGATGAGAGGCTCGTATAACTGAGCCGATTATTTCCTGCTGCTTTGCTACACGCTCGTCTCTGCACCGATCGAATCGGCATCTCCGTCTAGATCCGGGGCGTCCAGGTTTGCCTCTCTGTACGGGACCGCAATCCCTGTCTGCCAGCCAGAGAGGATCGAAGAGGATATGTTCCCCTCAACACCAACGGTGATCATTGTGCTATGGATATTAATAATTGTTCGGAATAATAATCAAACAGTGCCTGACGTAGTTTTGACGCATCGTGAGTTGTTCCCGGAAAGCGGCTGATGCCCCTTGTGCCAATCATCAATCTCAAACGCAACTTCAGCTGCACCGGCGATAGGCTGTTATGTCAGAGCGCATCGCGCTGGTGATCCTTTTTTAGTATCTTCCGAACATCATGTCATGACCTGGCCCTGGGTGTGCTCGTGGTGCCGGCTGCCGGCCTATACCTAGCCTGGGCCTGGGTTGCCAGCAAGGAGTAGACTCTGCTAGGTAGGGGCGGTTTCAATCTTGGCATCAATTTAATTTGAGTCCCCCCTGGATGTTACGTTGTCGACAGTTTAGCGATAGGCCTGGAGTCACCCGTGGTTGTTTGTACATATGTATGTGGTAGTTGTGGCTACTGGTGTGGCCTCATTGAGCTGGGCGTCTAGGACTGTTGCCGTTGAGCTCAGCTCTTTCAGGAAATAATACACATTTGCTCATGATTCTTCACATCCAATCCTCACAAAATTCATCCGCAGCCGGGACCAATTTAGGCATGCAAGCCATGTTAAAATTTCAGGTACAGGCTCTAAGCGCGCCAGGGGAGTCGATTTGGGCGCTACGCTACATCTTGTCTGAGATTGCAATTTGCATTCGCTACCTCGGCATCTCACCTACACAAGGTGTCCGAGCAAAGTACCTCCTTACCACAACAATCCCTTTGTCCTCTGGGTAACGCGTCGTGTCGTGCCGCTGAGCGACAGGCCCACTATCACCTTTGCCTTAGCCTGGCCCAACACCTCAATTCAAGCCGGCTTTTTAATTGGCTTAACTTAGGGGGGGGGGGCTTTAGGGGGTTAGATTTGAATCAAGCTAAATGACTTATTTCAAGCAGGTCTATCCTAATCAGGTTAGCTAGGCCCTATAGGGACCTTTTTTCTCCTAACTAATAAGCTAAGATAAGATAAGAAGACCTACCTACCTACTCTAGGTTAACAGAATTTCCTTAAAATAAAAGTAAAAGGTACCTATATATTACTAATCTTGCTATACTGACTTATAGACTTATAAGTCAGGACCTGGGTAGATTTGACTTGTGACCTTTTTTCCTGACTTATAAGTCAGGGGGTCGAGCACAAGCAACTCCAACTTCCAGCTTCCCCAACCGCTGGAAGAGCCCAGAAGCAGGGCTGTGGTCAATTGTATGTACCGCTCGCGTGGGCTGGGCTGGCCCGGCCTGGGATCTTGTTTCCCCCCTGTTGTCTTCTGGTCTCTTCGCATCCATTGAATACGACGTGCCATAGGACGGACGAAGTTTCTGACTATCAGCACTGGATCTCACTGAAGGATTATCTTTTTTCTCCTTGCTAATGTCTCGACTAACGTCTGGATAATTGACGCGAAGGCAATCTGACAGGCCTAGGGAATCGCCAGGGACACAGACGTTGGTCCATCCAATGTGGCGTTACGAGCGAACAAGCTACTAAGCACAGAAAAGACGAGAGAAAAGCAACATTGGATGGATACATGGCCATGACCCTGGCTTGTCCATGTGCATGGGTCATATCCCAATTTCACACACCTTCCTAGCTCACTCATCGCTCACTGCTCAGTGCTCGTCTCCTTACAACTCTCAACTCCTCGTCAGTGGACACATCCTATGGAATATCGATCTTTGCCCTACCTTTGCACCCCCTCCCCCTTGTCATCTAGGGCCACTATGAGGGGCGTTACGAACCCTTTGACGATGATTGACAGCTGGGACGGAGGTTCGGATGCGGAGAAGGGATCATGACCTATTCCCAGAGCCATTGCCATTGCCATTGCCATCAGCCCGCCCACACCCCCCGTCTTGTTGCCGTGGTCATGGCTCAGGGTTGACTATATCTCAGACGCTCTCCCACACTCTTTACTACTCCCCTCTCCGATCTTGTCCTTTTTCTTGAGCAAGCAAAGTCGTACATTGACGCACGACTTCTGTTCGAATACATTCGTTTTATTTTTCAGGACAATCATCATGCTGGGCAAGTTCCTAGTCGCCGCTCTCGCGGTCGTCGGCGGTGTCAACCCCGTCGAGGCTCAGCAGCAAAACATTTTCGTTACTGGTGTCCCCGTCACTGGTGGAGCTGCTGTTCCTGCTCGAAAGAACATCAATGACATGCACAAGGCTGGCGGCCCCGCCTGGTAAGTCTGCCGTGTGGTTGCTAACATGGCCAATGCTAATCTCAACACCAGGGACCTTTACATGCGAGCTGTGCGCTCCATGTACGATGCTAAGGAGACTGACTGGAAGTCCTACTTCCAGGTTGCTGGTATTCACGGAAAGCCCTTTATTCAGTGGAACGGTGGTGGTGGTCGAAGCGGCAATGGCTGGCCCGGATACTGCCCTCACGGTGAGAGCATCTTCCTGACATGGCACCGTCCCTATGTCATGCTCTACGAGCAGATCCTCGTCGAGCATGCCAAGCGCCTGGCCAACCTCTACCCCTCCAAGTACCGCAAGCAGTACGTTGACGCAGCCAACAACCTGCGAGCTGCCTACTGGGATTGGGCCCTCGATGGCATTCCCTCTATCCTCACCCAGCAGAATGTCGCCGTCAAGGTTCCCAACGGCAGCGGCCTCAAGACCATCAACATGAAGAACCCGCTTTACACTTACAACTTCCCCAAGGACGCCCTCAACAACAAGTACGGATCATGGGACGACGAGCACCGCGTTCGCATCTACCACTGCCCCGCTCCCGATAGCTTCCCTTCAAGTGCCAACAAGCTCCTCCGCCAGCGACCTTACAAGCAATGGGTCTACGATGTCATGACCCGACCCACCACCTTCAACCAGTTCGCTTCCACCGGTGCCAACGGTGCTTCTCTCGAGCAGATTCACAACGCCATTCACTGGGATGCTTCTTGTGCTGGCCAGTTCCTCGCCACTGAGTTCTCTGGCTTCGACTCTCTCTTCTGGTTGCACCACGCCAACGTCGATCGTCTCTGGGCTTACTGGCAGGCCATGCACCCTAGCCAGTCTACGTTCACCGGCTCTTACTCTGGTGGTGCCCGTTACTCTACTCCCCAGGGCACCCGCATCACACCCAGCTCTCCTCTCAACCCCTTCTACAAATCCAGGGGTAACTTCCACACCTCTGACAGTGTTAAGAGCATCAAGGGTTTCGGTTACACCTACGCTGGACTCGAGTACTGGCACATGTCTGCCAGCCAGCTCTCTAGCTCCGCCCGAACCACCATCAACCGTCTCTATGGCAGCGGTTCTTCCCGCCGTCGTGATGTTGAGGAGCGTGGCCTGATTGAGGAGCGTGCTGGTGCCAACACCACCCGTTACTTTGCCAACGTCCAGCTCGATGTCACCGAGGTTGAGCGACCTGCCCAGGTCAACGTCTATGTCTCCGGAAAGCTCGTTGGTGGTCTCGTCGTTATGCGACAGCCTGCTGAGGGTATCGTTCACGGTTCTTTCTCCGCTGACCAGGCTGCCGATGCCCCTCAGCTTCTTGCTGCCTGCTCTCCTACCAAGGTTGCCGATGCCGTCACCAGCGGCCTCCAGGTTGAGATTGTCAAGCTCGACGGCTCCAAGATTGACATCAGCACCGTCCCCAGCTTGAAGCTTAGCCTCGACGATGTTGCTTACACTCCTCCTGCTGCTGAGGATGACCTCCCTGTCTACGGCACTCCTCGCACCCAGCCCGCCAAGGCTGTTGCCCTCACCAACGCCAAGGCACTCAAGGCCGTCGCCGCTTGTGCCAACAAGCTTCCTTCTTTCAACCCTCCTGTCTAAATACCCGGCCATCATCGGCGTTTCATTTTATCATACCTGCCGCCGGCGGGCTAGCATGCTCGACCGCGGCTCATCATAAGGGACCACTAGCAAACCGCACAAATTCTTTTAAGTAATTTTAATCCCTGGCAGACTCGGGGAGTCATGATTGTATTTTTTCGCCAGACTAGGTCTATAGTTGTCATATAGCGGCCCCTTTGTCTTGTACATCTTGTATTCGTTCCATATGTGTGATGTGATGTCAAGGTGTCTGTTAAGAACGCAACTGGTGTATGTATGTATTAGAAGGTCTGAAGTGCTTCACGCAAGTTAACTCTGTCCAAACTGCATCGCTGTGAATGAGAATTCGTGCCAACTCTCGATAAAATAAGATCTAGTGGTACGAGAATTTGTAACAAAATATGCCACTTGCATTTATTGCCACGGGAAGGCCGAACTATTAGGGATGTACGTAACTTGGTCTGGTTAAACGAACAAAACGTTTATGCCTTTTCACTTCTCGCGTGAGAAATTCGAAAAATCGTCAACCGGCTACTTGACAACTCCCTCAATAAGAAGTCATTCAGGGCCCCCTATGGCATAGTTGCCCAGTAATCTTGGAGCGTCAATCCCTCAAACGTTGGACTCCTGTGTTCTTGTTGACCGATTTTCTCACCGGAGATCTCGTAGCATAGTTTTTATTATGGCCTATTCTATGTAACATGATTTATGACATTCATGTTCTTTAATTGTATGGGGAAAGCTTGCTGGGTTGATACTCAATATTAAGGACTGTGGATACTACCATGGCATGTGCAATCAAAGCTCTGTATAGACCAGTAACTTTGATTTTCGTTAGATACCAGTGATGCAAATCAACAACGATTCAGTGGTCTCACTCAGCTTCCGCCCCTAAAGCCACTGTATGCTTATAACATTGTGTATCTGGTCATAACCTGTCCGCCACTAGTTTATGATTGGATTACTTCCCAGCTTATGAGGTATAAGAACCAGCTCAGAATATCTCTGTGTTTCGAGAAACTTCCAAGATTGGGTTATATGTTTCGAGACCGTTACAGGAAATGTTGGCTGTGTTGCTCTTTCGGGACGAAACCTGATAGCATCGGCTCCCAGCGATGGCAAATTCGGGTATTACTATACAAGGGCTAATATTTGTAGGGGTTCCTCGAAAGAAGAGTGCAAAAAAAAAAGTAGTTGTCATGAAGACGAAACTGAACAGGCAAGGACGGGAGAGACATGCCCAAGCTGTGTGAACGAGCTGTCACCCCTGGCTCTAAGCTGCTGGCCGCTTCTTTATTTAGATCAATAAGATATCGTGACAGACTCGCCTGAATACAATGAAAGATAGAAACGAACGTTCAAACCAGTGTAAAGCACTGGTCCTAATGAAATAGAAGACTTTGCACAGCAGTGCTTTCAACACGTCATCGTAGGTGCCGATGAGGTGCTGCCCCAACATTGAGAAACAGTTTTATTTGAAGGACATAGGAAGAGTTAGGACACCCCAAATCTTCAGAAAGGTTCGGTTGCAGATTATAGTACAAAGTTGTTGCCCCCCTCCTCCCCCCCTTTTCTTTTTGTCGTCGTTCTATGGATAGATGGTGCATACAAGCCAAGCTATAGGAGAACTGCCTGAGACAAGAGTCTATAAGTTAACTTGGGGCACAGTTATCCTATTTTATGCCCCAAAATCCGCGAATAGCTTCCTAATGACCGTAAATTAACAATAATGATACTATCGAGGCTATCGAGCGGGTAGTCCCTTATACAGAACTGGTCTTGCTAACAGCTGAGGCTCGAGTATTCTTGTCACACCTGATTTCAAGCAATAGCGATAGAAACCCAACACTGGGAATACAGCCGACACTGTTCAGTAGGCTTCGAAGAATTAAAATTAGAGATTAAAGAGCTGTGAGATGTCAATATCAAGAAACTTACCCAAACTGTCACGTGCTCCAGGTCTAGCACAAACGCGATATCGTGAGGTTTCTGGTTGGCCCATTTCGACTTGACAACTCTTCCTACTTCATTTCCGCTTTCTTTAAGCAACCTTTACATCTCATTACGTCGTAAAGATGTCATTCGAAATCTTCGTTCCTTCTGAGAGAGAGGCCCCTGGTGTCACCGACACCTTCTTTGCCGCCATGGACATCAACCTGTTGATGCACGCACAATTTCCCAACCCTGAGAGCAAGGAATATTTCCGAGGCTGGCTCTTCAGAGATACTATGGATCATGTCCAGAGTATCGATAAGGGTGTTCTCGTTGCAGGCGACCCAGAGACCGGGAAAATAGCGAGTTTCGCTAAGTGGAACGTTCAGCGGCAACCGCGGTCGCGAGAGATGGAAGAAAAAGAAGAAGCCAATGATGATGAGTTCCCAGACTTCTGCCGTCGTCAATATCTTGGCCCCTACGCGGATCTTACTAAGAGTAAGAGAGACAAGGTCCTGGGTGACAAGACTTATTACCGTGAGTTATTTGCTACAGAGTGGAGGCCGGGATATCGACGACCAAACCTTCACCGCTATATACCCATGGAGTTGGAGATTTTAGCCGGAGCTACCTTTGCCATGTGCCACTCAACACTAACATTTCCTAGACGTGACATATCTATGCACAGATCCCAAGTTCAATGGCCGAGGGGCTGCGTCAACTTTACTTCGTCGAGTGCAGGCTGAGGCCTCCAAAGAGAATGCACCAGTTATTCTCGAGGCTACCATGAATGCGGTCTCATTTTACCAAAAACTAGGCTTCCAGATTCGAGAGGAGCTAAACATGATGCTCCCAGCTCGCGACTCAGATGAACCAACTGAATACTACGAAGAGAGAGTCATGGTTTGGACACAAGATTGAAAGCCATAAAGAGTTACACCCAGGAGGCCACAACGTCGTCGCTAATCGTCTCCACACTCACGTGGCAGAACGTTAAGGGTAATTTAACGCTGAGCTTTGACTCAACATCTCCGATATGACATCAACGGAGGTTGTAAGTCGAAGCAGAGCTTCGGACTGGATGGAGAGGTTTGGACCGTTATCGGTCAGTATAGCGGGTCACATAGTGTAGCTGGTTGTGCATCTCACCTGCATCACATCAACAAAGTCACAGCCACCATGATAGAAGCTCCGGTCCGAATAATGACGCTCTTGCTCTAGATATCACTCGCTCTAGAATCAGTGTTTGATGGATCTCGACAAATTGGCCCGTGCGTAGCGACGAGCCGGGACAGGACCGGCAAAGTTCCCCTGTAGCCCCCACGGCACAGGGGTCGAGTCTCTGTTGAGCCAAGATCAGGGACAAGACAAGGGAACATTTTCGGATCGTGATGGGAGGGCTTTCTATGGACCAATCATAGAGAGTGTATTTGTTCTAAGAGATCTGAAGTTATCTGTTGATAACTCTGAGTTGATATATCTAGGGAGAAATTGTCGCGTGCAGGGCCCACGACAACGGCCCTCCAAAATCTGTATAGAGGTTTGGTGGAATGAAACTGGGGATTGCATGACTAATGCTTTCTTGTTCCAGGAACTGTTGCTATCAAAAAAGGGACGAGAAGATCGTCACTTGGCAGCCGGAGATAACTGACTGATGACAGCTTGGTTTTGGCAAACGCTTCACCGAGTTTACATGCTGTGAACCGAGCATCGGAGTAATTCGGATTCGTCTAAGCAGCCGGCGGCGGCACTGGGTCTGGTATAGAGCCGGTAGTGTCAAAAGTGAGCAGATAGGGGAGATTTGCGGTGTTTTGGGGAGCTGATGAGGCATATCACGACCAGCGAATCCAACAGTAAGGAACCTCGGGAATTTTGCCAATGAGACAAAAGGTTATCTTAGCCGCTAACATACATACATACGCAGTCTAGGCAGTGAGAGGGTACATAACAACGCCGTGTTTGACTGCGGCGGTAAATCAACCCCGGACGAGCCATTACGTTAAAACAACTGCCGGACCATGCAGAATGAGGCAAGACAAGCTCACAGATGGTTTTCCATTTGGTAATGGGCTCAGAGGGACGCCCTTGGTCAGCTAGTATGGAGTACTTGACTTCCAAGTGTATTCACAAGGTGATTTTGTGTACACTGTACTTTTCAAGCTCAAGGTTTCCTCTCAAGATGGTGTTCAAAGCTGGCATCTGTGGTTGTGCAGAAAAATGTCTCTGAAGGCTGGGGGGTTCCTCTTTTCTTGATTTAACTTATCTTTTGCCATTATGTATTTCTATCTCCTCTGCTTTTCAGAGATAAGCTTGCTCATCCATTCAACTCTCACTGCCTTCATCCTCACTCGCTCGGATGTACAGTACACAGCAACACCAGATCCAGACCTAGACTCTGGACCCCGGGGTTGTTCATGATATGGCCCATTTCTTTCCTCAGCCGAGGAAAAAAGTGAGCTGGTCTTCGTCTGGGCATTTGGCAACGACGCCGCTGCCGAGAAAACCCCCCATTGCTCACGCTGGTCTTCGTCTACATGACTAGGCCCATGTAACGGCTCAGCATTGGCCATGATTCAGGCAAGGCTGTATTCCCGCCGAGTACTCCGTACCGTCCGTGTGTCTATCTTTGACAAGTCGGAAATTGGAAGCGACTTTGATATTGGGGGATATGATTTGCAGCAGGTGGATATCTCTTCATGAGAAAGCTTAAGGTTTGATGTTTCAGTCTGTTGAGTCATTGATTACTACGCCCCTAGTATATTTGCGTGCAAGGACAGGCAAACAGCCACTCAAGTTGAAGGTATGACAGCCCAACTTTACATACAGGCCAAGACACGAATGTCCCCAGATGATGCGTTCCCCTTGGTCGTTTGGTTGATGTCGAGATACGGAATATCCGTACTGAGGTTCAGTACCTCCCTTCCTGGGCCATGCTCCCCAAGTTCGAGATTCCTGATTCGGCACATGCTCCGGGGGCTTCGAATTTGGGGGGACGCCTCTTAGACACCAACTGACAAGGCTTGTCCCGAAGTTGACGGAGGGGAACTTGGGGATTGGATCTGGAGAAC